CATACAATTTGGCTGTAGCTGTTAAGGACGACAGGCTAGAAGTGTTACTGTGTGTTTTACCTGCGTGGATGTGGGAGCATTGGACATTGATTTTAGTATGTGACTAGATTTACCTTCCTACTGCCAGGGTTTCTTGAAACACCATTGAGTGAAAGATAGGAGATTTGGAACTACAATTGCGGATTGGTGTTATAGTCTGTGTTATGGTTTTGACAGGAGGATCCCAGGGAGCAGTAGCAAGCCTAAAGTGAAGTTCCAAATAGGGATTTAGCAAATTCATAGTCAAGGGAAGCCAAGGTCAGGGGCAGGCAGCACAGGTTCATAAAAGGTTTAAGAGGCAAAGAGGTCAAAGATCTGGAGACAATAGGAATCACAGAAGTGTACGCATTGAAAGCACAGTATAACTGAGCACTGAGACATGGTTGTATCTCTCTCGCACCATAGGTAAATTGTTTTTTTTTATCATTAATGATAAGAAGCTGTCCTTTGAGCATGAGGGAATAGAGCTTCTGCATCCCCTGTGTATGGAACTAGCTGTGGATAATCTTGCGGGGTGCGACAAGATAGGAAGAGCCACAGCAACTGGGTACCTCCATCAATTGATGTTTCCTAGTACTTGCAAACACCATAAGCACTGTACTGGAACACCATAACCACCGTAGACCCCACAAACCGCCGCAGCTTGGTTGGGGTCCCGCCGTCTTCCACCCACCCTGGACCCAAGACCAAGACCAGGATCCAGCTTCCAGTGATTAGACCTCTCCTAGTCCAGAGAGCGTAGCAGGAACAGCTCTTATAAGAGCTAGTGATATATTGTGATATAGCAATCCCCAGAGTGAATGTAGTTCTCCAATCCCCCAAACATGAGCCAAGACTTCATGAAGTGGTAAATGAATCTCTCTTTAATAGGAGCCACACTGGCCTTTTAAGCAAGTCCCCAAGCAAGGTGTACGCCCACATGGACCTTGTTGGGGACAGGGACACAAACTTATACACCAATAACAACATGGTTACAAAGTGTGACACTCCCAATACAAACATACAATCGCTCCCCTCTGCCTGGGAGATAATTGAGGCAGATCCTGCATTAACTCAATTATCTCCAGGCAGAAAAAACACATATTTTACAAAATCCCAAAGGTAACCAAAAAAAAACACATGATATCCCCACAATTATTACATCCCCTGATAGCCCTGATCTGGGTGACCAACATATCCAAAATTCACCCAGATCAGTTCAGGGGTTCAGGAATTCTGTGGAAGTCCCATTTTGGCCGGTCTACTTTGAGGATTCGAAATAACGTTCGAATTACCAAACAAAGTCGTTTGTGGATATAGCTATTGTATGTCTCTTGTTCGTGGGTTTCTTTTTACCAAACTCCCGTTCGAATAGCCGAACTTCCATGGAAGGTAAAGTTTTAGCGGTGCTCGTGCCGTCGAGTGTCCGATTTGAGTTCCATGCACTCAACGACCAAACACCGCTGGATGTATTCTATTAAACAAGATGGTCGCTGCCACATGTTCAAATGGCACTTCGAATGGCTTTGGGAGTTCGGGAGTTCGAAGTGCCACTTCAAAAGTTCAAATGCTTCCTGTCTAGGTCCAAACAGGCACAAACAGAGTCTTTAACGCAAAAATCATTACAGGGGCCACAGTCACAGGGCAGGAGGCTGGCCAACAGGCTCCTCCAAGAACCAGTGACGAGGCTACTTTCATCATAACTGTTTTGTAGATAACCAGACAAGTTGATTTACTTGGTATGTGGGTGAATATAGGCTCTTGAGATCAGTGCATGTGGAAAAGGGACAGAGGGAAGCAGTGCCTTAAAAGTTACCTCAAAATTTAATCAGGAAAATTCAATATACAAAAGAGTAGAGCAAAAACAAACTCTGGTGTAGTATTTTCAGATAGTTGGTGAGATAAATAGAAGGAAAAGCAATTACACTTTTTGGAGTTAGTAATTGGCTCCAAATATATGTGCTCAGGCGGTATAATGCCATCTATGAATCTGTGGAATATTTTGCTCTTGCGTGTGGGAGTCTTTACAGTTGATAGGTATTTTGGTGGCTGGTGTGGTATGAGTTCCGTAGCTCAAGGCATTCAGGATTTATGCGTGTCAGTGCACAGGAGAATAGCAGCAAAGGGTCACCAGGATATTCACCATATATTAAGGAATAAAAATAGTGCTTTCTTTAGTAAAATAATTATAGGTGGAGAGCAGAAATTGGTGTTTTCTCAATCCAATGCTTAGGTCAAAAATGAAGTACCAAATAGGGATTTAGCAAACTCATAGTCAGGGGAAGTTAAGCTCAGGGCCAGGCAGTGCAAGTTCATAAATGGTATAACAGGCATCTAGGTCAAAGATCATGAGACAATAGGAATCACAGAGGTGTTCGCACTGAGAAAAACAATTTTTTATCATTTTGAACTCTGCCCCTTTAAGAGGCTGTCCTTTGAGCTTGTGTGTGTCTAACATCATTATGATGGGAAGAGCCGCGGCACCACTGATATACATAATGAAGGTGCCGGCCCCCCTTCCTCGGAGATCAGCACACCATAGAGTACACTGAAGTGGGATCACATCGGCCATGGATGTGAGCCCATGGGTGGTAGACTGGCAGACAGGCAATCTCATTTATTAGGTCCCTCAAGAATGGTTAAAAAACAAAACACCACTTTAAAGGGCAAAGCACTGCAGCCATACTCCCACCCAATAACTCCTAGGGGGGATACTAATTTACTCAGAACAGCAGCAGCCTTTGGGTGGGAGCCCAGGAAGAGAGGCTGCAGAGTGGCAGAAAGAAGATTCAACGAGACTCAGAACAATGGCAGCAGCATTCATTGAATGTGAGCCCATGAAGAGAGGAGGCAGACTGTCAGAAAGTGGAGACACTTTTTTCATTAGATTCCTGCAAAAATGGTAAAAAATAATCACACTGCTTTACTGGGCAAAACAATACAGCCCAAGCCTACCCCATAAAGGGGGGTATTTTAACTCAGAACAGTAGCAGCAAGCTGTTTCTTCCAAAGGAAGATGGAGTTCATACACTTCTCACTTAGCAATTATAGGTGCAGAACCAAACCTGAGTCTAGAGAACCCCATACATAAGTAGGAAAACTTGTATGATCCTGCACTCAAGGTACATAAAGTAGTAGATATATTGGAAAATAAGAACACGAAGAGCAATGTTCCAACCTTGACGAAGACCTCATTAGAGGTCATAACATTGCTGTACATGTTCTGATATTCCAATAAATATGCTACTTTATGTACCTTGAGTGCCTGTATCCTTTTGCATTGTTCGGACATGCCCAAAGGGAACAAGTTGCTGTCATGCCCCTCAAACATAAAAGAATGAGATAATAGCTCCTCTACAAACAATCTGCATTAACATGTAGAGATGGGTATTTAAACTTGGGTAGGTTGAATTTTAAAATGCAATTTTCTTAAAGGACCACTCTAGGCACCCAGACCACTTCAGCTTTATGAAGTGGTCTGGGTGCCAGGTACCTCTAGGATTAACCCTTTTTTTTTATAAACATAGCAGTTTCAGAGAAACTGCTATATTTATGCTGAGGGTTAATCCAGCCTCCAGAGCCTCTAGTGGCTGTATCATTGACAGCCGCTAGAGGTGCTTGCGTGCTTCTCACTGTGAAAATCACAGTGAGAGCACGCAAGCGTCCATAGGAAAGCATTGTAAATGCTTTCCTATGCGACCGGCTGAATGCGCGCGCGGCTCCTGCCGTGCATGCGCATTCAGCCGATGACGTCGCGAGCAAGGAGGAGAGGAGGAGTACAGCTCCCCGCCCGGCGCTGGAGAAAGGTAAGTGTTTAACCCCTTCCTCTCTCCAGAGCCCGGCGGGAGGGGGACCCTGAGGGTGGGGGCACCCTCAGGGCACTATAGTGCCAGGAAAACGAGTATGTTTTCCTGGCACTATAGTGGTCCTTTAACTACATTATGTGAGAGTTCTGACCTCTGGGGATTGAGGATGTTTCCAGTGACTGAGAAGACTCTCTCACTCTTGAGGATGGGCATGACAGCAATTTTTGTGCAACCAACCTAAGCCCTTGCCATGCTTTACTTTTTTTTTGTTTTCAATAGGCTTTGTAGAAGAGACAAAGTAGGGCCTGAAGGGTATGTTTCAACCATTTCAGAGGCGCTACTTTGGGATGATGATGTAGCTCAACTTATTCCATTGGCTAACATTGGGCCCAAAAGGTTGCTGCTCCACTCTTATCTGCCTTTACATTTAGCACCATGGTCACAATCACCAGCAAAAGAAGAGAATCTTCTGCTATAAGGAGTTTCAGGTATGTCTATACCATGGGATCATGTAATCATGGGATATCTATAGAAATGTCACATAGTTACATAGTTACATGGATGTTTCAAGTTCAGTTTTTCTCATATCTGTTTTTGATGTTGATCCAAAAGAAGGCAAGAAACCCAGTTTGAAATGCTTTCAAATTTTGCAACAAACTAGAAAAAAAATAATTCTTAACCCTAGAATGGCAGTCAGATTTCTCTTTGTACCTTACTCCACATATTAAAATTATATCACTGAATATTATGTTTTTGCACCTATTCATCCAGTTGCTGTTTAAACATCTGTACAAACTCTGATAAAACCACTTTTTTCAGGTAAAGAATTCCACATTCTTATTGCTCTTACTGTAACAACCCTTTCTTTTGCATTAGACTAAATCTCCTTTCTTCCATTCTAAATGCATGACCTCGTGTCCTATGTGCAATCCTGTTTATGAATATATTTCTAGACAATGAATTGTATTGGCCCCTAATATAACTGTATAATCATAGGCGTGCGCAGCCTATTGCATTTGGGTGTGCACCCTAAAGCACAAACACACGCCGCGTGTGTGTGTGTGTGTGGATATATCTATATATATATATCCATATATATATATATATATATATATATATATATATATATATATATATATATATATATATATATATATATATATATATATAGATATATCCACACACACACACTGCTGTGTGTGCTGTTAGTGTGCTGTTAGTGTGATGTGTGTGTGAGGGTGCTGTTAGTGTGATGTGAGGGTGTTTGTGTGTATGTGTGTGTTTGTGACTGTGCTGTTTGTCCTGTGAGGGTGCTGTTTGTGTGAGTGTCGTGTATTTGTGAGGGTGCTGTTTGTGTGTGTGTGTGTGTGTGTGTTTGTGAGGGTGCTGTTAGTGTGCTGTGTGTGAGGGTGTTGCATTTTTTTTAAAGGTGCTGTGTGTGTTTGTGAGGGTGTGGTTATTGTACTGTGTGTGTGTGAGCTGTATGTGTGTAGGTGCTGTATGTGTGTGCTGTATGTTTGGAGGGATTTGGCAGATTAGTAAATCCTTGCTGCCATGTGCCATCCCTGGTGGTCCAGTGGAGAGTGAACTCTAGCCTGCAGGGCTAGAGTTAACTCTCGCGAGATCTGAGCGTTGACGCGGCAACACTCAGATATCGCGAGAGGAACCTGGCGGAGCTTCTGTCTAGAGCTCCCTGGGTCCTCTCCTGCCTCCCTCCATGCTGCTGTGGGCCGGTGAGGTAGATCTTTGGTCTCCCTGCCGGCCCATGGAGGCTTAAAGCAGAGCCGGCACTCAGATAGCGCCGGCTCTGCGTGTGTGTGTATATATATATATACATATATATATATATATGCATACACACACACACTCACAGACACATTCAGACACACACACACATACACTCACAGACACATTCAGACACACACACACATACACTCACAGACACACACATTCACAGACACACACTCACACAGACACACCCATACACTCACTGACACACACACACATACATTCACAGACACACACTCACTGACACACACAGACACACACTGACACACACACACATTCACATACACACACTCACAGACACACACACACTCACACAGACACACTCACACACACTCACTGACACACTCACTCACACAGACACACACACACACAGACACACACACACACACACACACACACACACACACACACACACACACACACACACACACACACACACACTCCACACACACAGACACTCACTGACACACTCACTCACACACACACACACTCACTGACACACTCCCACACTGACACACACACTCACACACAGACACACACACACTCACCGAGCACTCAATCACACAGACACACACTCACTGACACACACACCAGACACACACACTCACTCACACAGACACACACACACTCACTGACACTCACACACAGACACACTCACTCACTGACACACACACTCACAGACACACACACAGACACACACTCACTCACACAGACACACACACTCACTCACAGACACACACACTCACACACAGACACACACACTCACACACAGACACACACACTCACTCACACAGACACACACACACACTCACTCACACAGACACACTCACTCACATACACATAAGAACAAATTATTACATTTTAATTTAAAAAAAATGTCCACCCAGCCTCCTACCTGGAGTGCTGGCGTGGACTTGTCCCTGGGGTCCAGTGGGGCGGGCGCCTCTCTCCAGCTCAGCCGCGGCGAAGGAGCTGTGTGATGTCTGCGTTCTGCTTCCTCTCGCCGCGCGGGCTGTCTGCTGTAGCTGGGAGCCGGAATATGACGTCATATTCCGGCTTCCGGCATCAGCTTGCGGCGAGAGGAAGCAGAGCGCAGACAGCAGAGAGCTCCCTCGCCGCGGCTGAGCTGGAGAGAGGGGGGGGGGATCGATCACCTCTTGCCCTCCCATGACAGGGGCAAGAGGTGAGACAGGGGGTGCTGAGTGTCTGCAGGAACAGCGTTCCTGCTCAAAAAAGTGCAGGGTCGCTGTTCCTGCAGGACTCAAACCATAGGCGTGCCACGGGGATTAGGGTGTGCCCAGGCACACCCGGCACACCCCGTGCGCACGCCTATGTGTATAATGCTATAATTTCCCCTCTGAGGCACCATTTTTCTAAACAGAACAGATTTAAATGTGTTAACCTTTTGTCATAACTCAAATGTTTCATTCCTTGTATCAGTTTTGTAGCTGCCTCTGCATTTTTTCTAATGCCATAATATCAGAATTTCTTTCTATATAACATGTGACTAGGAAGCACAGGGAAAAAAAAGGGTTGGTCTTTTCATTGATTTCTAATGAGGCAAAATTATAGTTCAATCCTCAGGATTAATGCCCTTTTTTATACATGACAATACTTTACTACAGTGGTGTATCCTTGTTCTGTGCTGCCCTAGGCAGGACAAAACTCAGGCGCCCCCCAACCCCTCCACGCGCGCGCGACCCCCACCCATCCCTTCCCCCCGCCCCGCCTTCTAAATACACACACACTCACTGACAGATACGCATACACTAGCTAACAGAAGCACAAACTCACTGACACACACAGACACTCACTCACTCACTAGCAGACACACACTAGCAGACACACACACACACAGGCAAACATACACAGACAGTCAGACACACACACTCACTAGCAGACACATTCACTCACTAGCAGACACATACACTCACTAGCAGACACACATTAGCAGACACAAACACTCACTGACACACACACACACTCACAGGCAAACACACTCACACTAACAGTCAGACACACACACACTCACAGTCACACACACACTAACAGACACACTAACAAACACACACACAAACTAACAGACACACACACACACAGACACACACTAACAGACACACTAACAGACACACACACACACTAACAGACACAGACACACACACTAACAGACACACACACACATCAGACACACACACACTAACAGACACACACACACACACACACTAACAGACACACTCACAGACACACACACTCAGACACACACACACATACTAACAGACACACACACATACTAACAGACACACACACACACACACATACTAACAGACACACTCACACACATACCAACAGACACACACACACACACACACACACTAACAGACACACACACACACACACACACACACATACTAACAGACACACACACATACTAACATACTAACTCACACATTTATTTTTTTAAATAGGGGTTCCCTATCTCCCTGGGGTCCAGTGGCTGCTGGGCGCTGGGCGGGTGGCTGGCGAGGGAGCTCTTCCTCTGAGCACTCTGCTCAGCTCCCTCGCGTGCCGCAGAGTGAGGCTGGGAGCCTGAATATGAAGTCATCTTCCGGCTCACAGCCTCACTCTGTGGCGCGCGAGGGAGCTGAGCAGACAGCTCAGAGGAAGAGCTCCCTCGCCAGCCGCCTGCCCAGCAGCCAGTGCCGCCCAGCCCGACCGGCATTTCTGTTAGCCGGAAGGATAACAAGGCATTTACCCTGGGCATTTGGGGCGGCGTTTTTTTGCCGCCCCCTGAAAAATGCCGCCCAAGGCAAATGCCTTGTTTGCCTCGCGGCTAAAACGCCCCTGCTTTACTAGCCTTAGCAGCTGCTGATTAAAATTGCCAGGGCCAGTGCAAGGATTTTTGCCACCTTAGGCAAACAAGATCTGCTTTGCCCACCATGTGACATCACAACGCCAAACCCATATGATCTGCTATATGAACTAAAGCCAATGCAGTGTCTTTTGCCTGGCGATCGTGGTTGGGGGGACTCCCAGGGAGCACCCGCGGCACGTCCGACCCCCTGGAAGCCCCCCGGCCATGTGAGAGTGAGGTCCTTGCGAGGACCTCACAATCACATGGCCGGGATAGCTGGCTGCAGCATTGCCAGCAGGGGGGCTGCCTGTAATGACTGGTGATCCCCCTGCTGGCAGAAAATAAAAATAAAATTAAATTAAAAAAAGTTAAAGGTGTAAAAAAAAAATATATATACTTAGATCATATATATATTATATATATATGATCTAAGTATATATATATACACATATACATACACACACGTACACTGTATAGGTGTATTTTACTATTAATATATATATAATTATATATATATATATATATATATATATATATTAATATCAAATTGCACGTAGACTGATACTGATTAAATATATATATATAATTATTGTTATATATATATTTATATATAATATAAAAAAATTAAATATGTAAATACGTAAAAAAATTAAATTAAACAAATAATTAAAATATATATAGATGTGTGTCATTTCGTTCTGTTTTGTGATATTAATATATATATATTTATATCAAAATACACGTAGAACGAAATAATATATATATATCTATATACATAAATATATACGTATATATCACTATATATATACCTATATATAAATAAAAATATTTTTTAAAAATTATATATATATATATATATATATATATACATACATATATATTCACATACGTATATATATATATATATATATATACATATATTAATTCTACATATATATTTATGTAATATTTTTACATAATTGGGTATCTTAATTAATTACAATTAGCGAGACCTGCCTGACAACCCATGCCGAAAGTAAAGGGAATTTAATTTGCTAGCATTATATTTAACCCTATAACGTTCCAAGACACCATAAAACTTGTACATGGAGGGTACTGTTCTACTCGAGGGACTTCGCTGAACACAAATATTAGTGTTTCAAAACAGTAAAATGTATTACAACGATATCGCCAGTAAAAGTGACGTTTTTTGCATTTTTCACGCACAAACAGCACTTACACGGACGATATTATTGCTGCGATACTTTTTACTGTTTTGAAACACAAATATTTGTGTTCAGCTAAGTCTCCCGAGTACAACAGTACCCTTCATGTACAGGTTTTATGGTGTTTTCAAAAGTTACAGCGTCAAATATAAGGCTTGCGTTTCATTTTTTTCACATTAAAATTCGCCAGATTGGTTACGTTGCCTTTGAGACCCTGTGGTAGCCCAAGAATGAAAATTACCCCTATGATGGCATACCATTTGCAATAGTAGACAACCCAAGGTATTGCAAACAGGGTATGTCCAGTCTTTTTTAGTAGCCACTTAGTCACAAACACTGGCTAAAATTGGCGTTTTTTGCATTTTTCACACACAAACAAATACTAACGCTAACTTTGGCCAGTGTTTGTGACCAAATGGCTACTAAAAAAGACTGGACATACTCCATTTGCAATACCTTGGGTTGTCTACTGTTGCAAATGGTATGCCATTATGGGTGTAAATTTCATTCCTGGGCTTCTATAAAGTCCCAAAGGCAACGTAACCAATCTGGCGAATTTCAATTTCAAATGTAACGTGCTATATTTGACCCTGTAACTTCCCAAAATGCCATAATGCCATCTGTACATAGGGGGTACTGTTTTACAAGTGAGACTTTGATGAATACAAATATGTGTATTTTATTGCAGTAAAAGCAAACAGTATTATGACATTGACAGTTAATATGTCATGTAGAACAAAAAAATAAAAAAAAATCTTTTTTTTCTCCCATTTTTTCATATTACATTATGTTTCATAGCTAAATATTTGATATTAAATGAAAGCCCTGCCCCTGAATAAAATGATATATAATAAGGGTGGGTGCGTTTAATATGAAAGAGGTGAATTACGGTTATACAGATATGTAGTGCAAATGCCAGGTTTTGTTTACATTTTGTTTCGTTCACAACGTGTACATTTGGCTCCGTCCTTAAGGGGTTAAGCTGATCAGTGCCACTAATAATATACTGTATTGCCTACTTACCACCAGATGAGGACAAGAGGATGATGTGACGAAGTGCCCTTCGCCACTTGGTACTGGAGAGGCCTGCTTGCCAGCCTCCTCCCCTTTGACTATGACTCTTTCATGTATTTGGCTTTAAAGCCCCTAGTCTACCTTCAGACAGATTATTTATGTGGGCTGCTTTATTTATCCTATGTTTTAGTCACCCTGTACCCATTATAGGTGCAGGGTGTGTGTAATGTAATTGTTTATAGTGTGTGTGTGTATACTGTGTAATGTATTGCCTGCTCTCTTGTATTGCTGAGGTTTGCTACCAACTAGGTGGGTTTGGCTATGGAGCTGGTCTAGTGCCCTCTGTTGGTAGCAACAGCAATATGCACTACCTGAATTGCAAGACTGGTTCATTTGCATATTCGGGTAGATTTGCATATTGCTAATTCTGCAGGCAGGTGAGATATTTACTGTTAAATATTGTCTCCCCCCACCCCTTTAAAAATGTGCCATTGTGTTGTGATAAGTCACTGTGTGTTTCTTGATATGGTTTGACTGTTTGTGATTTTATTGAGGTTTCACAACAATGTTATTGTGGTGACTGTATTGGCTGGTCCCAAGGGAATAAAGGTTTTGACAGTTCTTCTTGATCCCTCTAAATGTAGCCTTGTCTCGTTATTGGAGGGAGCTGTTATAATCACACTGGGGATTGCTATGCTCTGCATGCTCCCCTGAGCTTGAGTCACTTAGCTCTTTTAAGAGCTTGTTCCTGACACGCTCTCCTTGGAGGAGGGGTCTTCACCACACAGTCCTGGATGCTGGAGGTTCATACAGGGTGGAAGGAAGAGTTCTTTCCCACACAGTCCTGGAGGACAGAAGCTGATCCAGGGTGGAAGGAAGACGGCGAGACTCCAGTCAAGATACGGCGGTTGCGGAGTCTGCGGTGGTTGTGGTGTCTGCTGCAGTGCTTGGAGTCCTCAGGAAGCGCTAGGAGCATCCATCAACGGAGGGTACTCAGTCGGAGTACAAGGAGCTCCGTTACATTGGTGGCAGCGGTGGGATGGCGTCCTAGTGCGAGGAGAAGCAGCTCGGAGACACTGGTATCGTATGAGAGGTTATTGAGGGCAACGCTAGCCACTGTACAGCGTCCCTAACTACAGCAGCATGGAGCAGGCATGGATAGAGCCCTGCGAAGAGTACCTCAACAGGATACGGCGCTACGAGGATGACGCTTACATTGAGGAGGTAAAGAGGCGGTTGGTCTGCTATGGCCCAGACCTTTCGAACGAGGTGGTCCACCAAGTAATGCGCCAGTTGAGTGCTGAGAACAGTGCGGCAATGGCCTTTGAGCGAAAACTGTGGAGGTTGAGGATATGGACACCTAGTCTCCAGCGACAGTGTAAGTTCCAGGGAGCCGAAGGTGTTGTCCTTCCTCCCCAGCGGCAGTGCGAATTCCAGGGGCCGAAGGTGTCGTCCTTCCCCCGCAACAGCAGCAGTGTGTCCTACAGGGAGCAGAGACAGTTGGTCTCTCTCTCCAGCAGCAGGACATTGTTATGGGAGTGGAGACAGGCGGTCTCCCTCTCCAGCGGCAGCCTGTGTTTCAGGGAGAGGAGCACAGCACCCTATCTCCCCAGCGGCAGCTTACCCTACAAAGGGGAGACACCAATCTCCCAGATAGCGCAGATGGGACCGTGGTCTCTGTGCCTGACCTACAGGGTTGCTGGACAGCCTGTCCAGATCCCCAACTACCCTCACAGGGACAACAGGAGGAGGGGGTAAGTATGAATTCCCCTCCCCAGCTAACTCCTAACTTGGCCCCAGGGTTAACAGGGGAGATGTTAAACCCCACTGACCCCCACGTTCCCCTGGCTACTGAGCCAGACTATGTGCCAAGCACCCCAGCAGAAGAGCTGGCAGCTGGGCAGAGTGCAGTCGGCCTCTGCCCTCCCTTTGTCCCTTGTCCAGAGCCTGATGTCCTGCAGGCTATACCAGCAGAAGAGCTGGCATCAGGGCAGACCGCCCCTGGCCTCTGCCCTACCGATCCCCTTGTCACAGGACTGGCCTGCACCCCCCTCCTCCCAGCAGAAGTGCTGGCATCAGGGCAGAGCGCCGCTGGCCTCTGCCCCTCAAGTCCCCACAGCGTGTTGCCCCATCACCCCAGAGGAATACCCAGGTGCAGTCACTGTTTGCTGTGGGTGGGCTGCTCTAATAACTGTTTGTTGTGGGTGGGCTACTCTGGCACTTGCTTATGGTCGGTGGGTGAATCGACTAACTTAGGCACTGACCGACAGAAAGTCAGGTGCCTGGTTAGTCTTCCCCCCGAAGGGGAGATATGTGACGAAGTGCCCTTCGCCACTTGGTACTGGAGAGGCCTGCTTGCCAGCCTCCTCCCCTTTGACTATGACTCTTTCATGTATTTGGCTTTAAAGCCCCTAGTCTACCTTCAGACCGACTATTTATGTGGGCTGCTTTATTTATCCTATGTTTTAGTCACCCTGTACCCATTATAGGTGCAGGGTGTGTGTAATGTAATTGTTTATAGTGTGTGTGTGTGTACTGTGTAATGTATTGCCTGCTCTCTTGTATTGCTGAGGTTTGCTACCAACTAGGTGGGTTTGGCTATGGAGCTGGTCTAGTGCCCTCTGTTGGTAGCAACAGCAATATGCACTACCTGAATTGCAAGACTGGTTCATTTGCATATTCGGGTAGATTTGCATATTGCTAATTCTGCAGGCAGGTGAGATATTTACTGTTAAATATTGTCTCCCCCCACCCCTTTAAAAATGTGCCATTGTGTTGTGATAAGTCACTGTGTGTTTCTTGATATGGTTTGACTGTTTGTGATTTTATTGAGGTTTCACAACAATGTTATTGTGGTGACTGTATTGGCTGGTCCCAAGGGAATAAAGGTTTTGACAGTTCTTCTTGATCCCTCTAAACGTAGCCTTGTCTCGTTATTGGAGGGAGCTGTTATAATCACACTGGGGATTGCTATGCTCTGCATGCTCCCCTGAGCTTGAGTCACTTAGCTCTTTTAAGAGCTTGTTCCTGACACGCTCTCCTTGGAGGAGGGGTCTTCACCACACAGTCCTGGATGCTGGAGGTTCATACAGGGTGGAAGGAAGAGTTCTTTCCCACACAGTCCTGGAGGACAGAAGCTGATCCAGGGTGGAAGGAAGACGGCGAGACTCCAGTCGAGATACGGCGGTTGAGGAGTCTGCGGTGGTTGTGGTGTCTGCTGCAGCGCTTGGAGTCCTCAGGAAGCGCTAGGAGCATCCGTCAACGGAGGGTACTCAGTCGGAGTACAAGGAGCTCCGTTACAGATGATGATGGGCTCTGGTTGCAGTCTGGCTCCACTGGTCTGGTTGAGAACAGGCTCTCTGGAGGCTGTTTGTACCTGTGCTCACAAAAATAAATGCCCTGGGGGAACAGGAAGCTGCTCCATTTTTGGGCTCCTTACACAGCTCAAGATCTGTGTCCCCAGCGCATGCCCATAAGTCCACCTACATGGCCCACCTATGAGTTCCTTTACAGGGATTGGAGTGCTTCTGGTTATGCCTCTGCCCCATCCCTTAGTGGTATCCCCTCCTGTCCCTTGAAACTCTCCATTCCTGTTCCTTAGTGCTTTGCCCTCCCGTCCTGTCCCTTAGAACTCTCCCCTTCTGTTCCTTAGTGCTCTCCCCTCTCCTCCTGTACCTTAGTGCTCTCGCCCCGTCCCTTAGTGCTCTCCCCTCCCTTAGTGCTCTCCCCTGTGTAAGGGATGTGTTATTGTAGAGAATGTAATGTGTGTGTGCTTATGGAATGTAGTGTATAGGGATACTAGTTTGTGCAGGGGATGTAGTGTGTTTGTGTTTAAAGGATAGAAAGCAGTGTGTGTTTGTGTGTAAGGGATGCATTGTGTGTTTCTGTGTGTTAGTATGTGTGTGTGTGTTTAAGGGATGCACTGTTTGAATCTGTGTTTGTATGCATAAGGGATGCTAGGTGTATTTATGTGTGTGTAAGTGATAAATTGTGTGATTCTGTGTTTGTATGTTTAAGGGGTGCATTGAGTGTGTAAGGGTGCATTGTGTTTCTATGTGTGCAAGAGAAGCAGTGTGTGTTTGTGTAAGGGATGCATTGTGTTTAAGGGATGCAGTGTGTGTGTAAGAGATGCATAGTGTGTTTATGTGTATGTGTGCAAAGGATGCATTGTATTTGTGGGTGTGTGTGTGTGTGTTTGTGTGTGTAATGGATAAGTTGTGTGTTCCTGGGTGTAATGGAAGCATGGTGTGTTTCTGTGCGTGTGTGAGTAGGGATGTATTGTGTGTTTGTGCGTGTAGGGATGCATTGTGTTTGTGTGTGTGTGTGTGTGTGTGTGTAGGTATTGTATGTGTGTGT